GGCCGAACCTCTTTGCGACCCTGGCCGCAGCCCGTGACCGACGAGCTACGTCCGCGCAAAGTCAGGTTGTTTCAACCTCTTTGCCTACTTTATTCCTTTATTTCTTTTCACTTCCTTCGCTTTCATCCTATAGTTATAGTTATTGTTATATTTGTTTTTTAATGCTATATATTCTCGTTTAACAAATAAATACATTCTCTCTATATCTCAGTCTTCACGCAGCCTATTATTATCTCCTAATTGTGTCTTATATACTCCTTCATTCACCTTTCTTGCTTTCCTTTTTCTACCTGACTCCGCACTACTCGTTCCTTTCCTCTATGTTATCTCCTGTCTCCCTTCCTTTCTTCTCTTCTTCTCTCTTTCCATAATTTCCTTATTATCCCCCCTTTTATCTCATCCAAATCCTGATCACATATTCTCTTTAAGATCTCTTCCTTAACTTTTCCTAATTTAGTAAACTTTTCTCCTATTTCTACGCATTCCTCTACATAGTGTTGCAAATTATCTTTTTCCTTACCACAAAATATACACTTTTTCTTATATGCTTCTACCCAATATTTATTACCTTCCTCCGAGTTCCCTGTGACGTCCTGAGTCGCGTGTTTGGTTTTTAGAGCGGTCTCGAGGCGCTTACATATAGGGTGCGGCGCCAAAATCCGGACAAATTTCAAGTTGAAATTCCCTCCGTTCAATACCATTGGTAAATGTCGCGATTGGCATTCAAATAGCTTGACGCATGTACTAAACCATCATAACCTCGAAACAGTCGCAATGTTGAAACCAAGTGCGGAGTATAACCGAAGAGCCGTGATTATCGAAAGTATTCGCGCCGGGCGCTCGGCGACAGAAATCATTCGGTTCTTCGGGTATCCGAGATCGACTGTGTATGATGTCTTCGCAAAGTACCATGAGTCGGAGAAGTCCAACGAAGGTTCTGCAACACCGGCGAGGAAATTCCACTCGAAGGAGCGCGTTGTCAGGACGCCCGATATCATTCAATGGGCTCAGGAGCTGATTTTTGAGGATCCAGGACAGTCGATCCGAAAATTGTCGTCGGTTGTTGGTGTGAGCGAGAAAACTATGCGTCGAATCGTCGAGGAGGACCTTCGCTACAAGTCTTACACAATTAAAGTAAGACAGATGCTTTCCGAAGCCGCTAGGACAAAGCGAGTTGAACGCTGCAACCTGCTTTTGTGTTCCTTAAAACACAATGCTGCCGGATGACTCAAGTTTTTTTCTAACGAGAAAATTTTTACTGTGGATGCGAAAATCAATCGAAGGAACGACCGCTGGCTCGCCCACAACCCTGAAGATGTCCCCATTGTTACAAGAACGAAATTTCCGGCGAATGTTCACGTGCTAGGTGTTGTGTCCAGTGAGTGTGATGTCATGCTACCGCATTTTTTTAACAAAGGGGAAAATGTCACAAAAGAAATTTATTTGCGTGTTCTGACAAATGTAGTGAAGCCGTGAATGGAAACTGTGTCGTTTGGAAAGCCATATGTTTTCCAGCAGGACGGTGCGACCGCCCACACAAGTCATTTGGTGCAAAATTGGTTGTCGAACAACGTCGACATGTTTTGGTCGAAAGAATTCTGGTCTCCCAACAGCCCAGATTTGAATCCTTTGGACTTCTACGTATGGGGCGTGGTTGAAAGGGTCACGAACAAGTCCAGATATCCAAACGTCGCATCATTGAGAGCCGCTATTGAAGCGGCATTCACTGATATGGACCGTGACACATTAAAGCGTACCTGTGCATGCTTCAGACCGAGAATGGAGGCGATCATTCAAGCAAGCGGGGGATATATTGAGTGAATATGTTCTTTATGGCCTTACAAACAATGGAGGTAAACAAATTTTGTAAACCTTTTCATTGTAGCAATAAAACATATGTTTAGAAAAAATATATAATTTGTCCGGATTTTGGCGCCGCACCCTGTAAATTCGCGGGAGCGCGAGCGCGGAGCGGGGCGCGCGGGGCGAAGCCTTGACTTCAGTTGAAATTCGTTCTCGGCGTGTATTTACGCGTGAGACAGGTTGCTGTCACCAGTACCTTTATAAAGGCACAAATTAAATTGTCATAATGCTCGCGAGATATCTATTATTATACTCGAATCGTTTTTAAAGCTTCCGAATTTCCTTATTAAGCACCGGAAGAAATAATACAGAGAGTTTAAAGGAATTGTTAGATAGAACGTGGTACACGAGGTGTACGAGGAATTTGTGAAGATATTAAGATCTCTTTCCATGGGCAGCTGTGATGTTTCATCACTCGCTTCGCTCTATCCACGCTCTCTGGTTCCAGTGCGGGAAAGGGAGCTGGGAAAGATAATGAAAGGCCTTAAGGGCAGAGAAATGAAGAATAGGAATGATAAGGTTCGACTATTTTAACATTAATATTATACGGAGTGTTGTTAATGATTCGTGGCTTGCTGGTAATCAGCATTGGCCTCGTCGGCTTACGGATCGGCGCAATGTGCAGCGGGGATCGCGGTAGCGCGGGTCGCGGCGGTGGTAATGCGGGCGCTTTCTCAGTGGCTTCTACGAGCGACAGAGAAGTGCGGTGTTAAACAGAGAGGGCGAGAGAGGAGTGCGGAGGCCTCGACGCCGTGAAAGGCGCTTGGAGTTCCGCAGGAGGCTAGTTTCGGCGTCGCTATGGGCCAGCGCCGTCGAAACTGGGGGTAGGAATAGCCCTTCAGACGCCATGGGAGGCGCACGATCGGGGCTGGATTTTCGAGGAGTGCGGAAAGTTTCTGAGCGCTACTTAAAGCGCTGGGAAGACTTACCGTCAGGATTTTGAGGAAGAATAAGGACGCGTCTTCGAACGCTCTGCTTTATATACTGTTTATTTCGTGGCCCCTCGTGGTAAGGGGATGTTTTCGTCCACGTGCTATTGCGAAATCTTTGATACGTGTCGATTATGTTATTTATGATTTATTCTAATAATAATTAGATTTTAGTTAGATTGCGCGTTTTATTTCATTGCGGGGGTCGCGAAATTCGTATTAGCGCGTTCAGTCGTCGCGTACCGCAACCCGTTGCGGCAGAACTTACATTTGTTCTTTGCGCGTTTTTTCATCGTAGGTCTCTGTATTGTTCCGGATCTCTTCGTTCTTTGTGCGCGTGGAATTTTGATGTTTATTTAAGGCTTTCTCTTAGTTATGTGCGCTTCAATTTTATTTGTAATAGTTTCGTTCGTATTCAGAGGCCTTTTGTGACCGGTGGGTGCATTCAGGGTTGCGGGGCAATGCATTGCGTTGGCGTTATGCGTTTTTATAATTTTTCCGCAGATCTGCGGTTTTTCCCTGCAGCTGCGTCGAGATCGGTTGTTATCTTAATTATTCCCTACTTCGTGTTAATAGTGTTTTCTCGTTAAAGTGTATTCTTGCATCGTTTTCGGCATTTGTACTTTGGCGCAGGCGCAGTATGCGCGGCGTTCAATCGCGACGGTTTCGGTGGCTTGGCCTATAGTTGTACGCGATTGTAGTAGGCACGTATTATATCTGTTCGCTATACTTCGTGCTCGCGCTCGCTTGGTAAAAGGACGAGGCGCTACGCTATAGGCGCACCGGACGTTACATTCCCACATCTTAACTTGAACAGGGATCTCACCTCATCTCCTCTTCTCTCTTCCCCTAATTTTTCTTTCCTCAAATACTCCGGTACCCTGCTGTTTACCCCTATTTCCTTGTATCTTTCGTTGTACCTTGCCTTATGTATTTTACAGTCCTCCCACTGTCTTTGCACCTTTTTCCCTTTTTATTAATTGATCCTCAAAACCTTCTTCCTCGTATATTACTTCTTTTGCTTCTATACCCCATCCATTCCTATTATAATATTTCTTTCTTTCCTTTCCGTACACGTCCCCCCCAGCCCATCTTCTTCTTTTCTTCCCAACTCGCGTTCGTCAGCTTTCCTACCCTTCCTGATTTTATTCTATTCTCAAATCTCCTTGCTCTTATTCCCCATCCTACTCTGAGTTTATCCATAAAGAGTTTATCCATAATTAAATACCTTGGAGTACAAAAGTCAAGACTAAACATCCATCTTATATAATCCATCATAACCTTTTCTAATTCCTCTCTCTCTTCCCATCTCCATATTTCTATCCCGTACGCCATAACACTTTGCACCAGATTTAAATAAGATCCATCTACTCCTGAAATCATTCCTGCACATCCTCTTTCCTATACCCCAGACCTTTCTTGCCGCCATTTTACCTTTTCTACCTAAATCCCTTATGTGATCTTTACGGTTACCCCATCTATTCAGCGTAAAAACCAGATACTTAAATTCCTGGACCTCTTTAATCTCCTTTTTACCCTATTTCCATGTTTCAATTTTCTCTCTTCCTCTCCTATTACATACCAATACCTTAGTTTTATCTGTACACAGTTCTAGTTTCTTTTCTTCTATAAATCTTTTGAACGTTCCTATCATATCCTGCAGGGCTTCCCTATTTTTTTGCCAATAGAACTATATCATCCGCATACGCAAAATTTCAGATCTTATGCTTGTCAATACCTATTCCTCCTATACTTCTGCATCTAAATTTATCGTCTAAGTTCGCGATGTACAAATTGAAAAGGAGTGGACTCATCACACATCTCTGCCTCACACCTTTCCTCGTTGCGAAATTTTCAGTATTTGCTTGCTTCGTTCTGACCATTACCTCTGTTCCCTCGTAGGTCCTCTCAATTCTTTTAATCAAATTCTCGCTTATTCCTTTTTTTCTCAAGCATTCTACAACATGCTTCTATTTACCTTGTTAAAGGCAGCCTTCAGATCCGCAAACATCATAAATACTTTCCTATTTTTACATTGCTTAATTTCTTCCCTTTGTATGATGTGCGTTATCACGAAAATATTGTCTATCGTCGACCTTCCTCTTCTGAAGCCTGCTTGAGTCTCCGGTATCGTTCATTTCTCCTCTGTTTCTTTCTCTAATCTATTTTTCAGTATCTCCGCATACAATTTGTACGCTGTGCATAGCAATGTTATTCCTCTGTAATTTGTTGCCTTTTCTTTATCCCCTCTCTTGTATATGGGTACTATTATGCTTTTTTTCCAATCTTCCGGTATCTTGCCTTTTCTCCAAACCATCTTCATTAAAGATACCAGCTTCTTCCATAGCCTTTTCCCAGCATACTTCCACGCTTCTGTCAGTATTCTGTCTATGCCGGCAGCTTTCTTGAGCTTCATTTTTCTCAGTGCCTTCTTTATTTCTTCTTCCTTTAGTTTTTCCTCTTCTATTTCCTCGCTTTCCTCTTCTTTCGTTTCCTCTCCTTCCGCCTCCTCGTTGCCTAGTAGATTTTTTTAATGATTTCTCCATTCCTCTTTATTTATGCTATTTTCCACCTGTTTCTTTCTGTCCCTTTTCTTATTTCCATATGTCCAACTCTCTTTTCAGGCTCCTTAATTCCTCCTCCTCTTCTTCTCTTTTCTCTCTTTGTTTCTTCTTCAGCAATTCCTTATACCTCCTTTTCTCTTGCTAATATTCTTCCTTTCCTATTTTTCCTTTCCTCCATCTCCAATATATATTTTTTACTTTTCTTTTCCCTTTGGTAAGACTGGTGGAACAGCTCCTGTTCCACCAGTCTTTGTGCCCTAGCTCCTTTCTTCTCCTTTTTACCGACTTCTTTACCAATGCCCCATTAGTTTAATTTCTTTCCACCTTTCTTCGACACTTTTCCCTTCCTGTGTCCCTTCTTCTTTTCTCTCCTTTTCCTCTTCCTCTGTTGCGTTTTGATATCTTTCAATAGCCTCTGCGTCCCAGGCTGTTATTTCCTCTTCCCACACTCGTTCCTCCTCTGTGGTTAAATTTACTTATTTCTCTCCCTACTCACTGATCTTCAAGCATAAAGATAAGTGATCCGAGTCTACTACGTAATCTATAATCGAGTTACCCGAGGGGTAACTACAGCGAGGGCTCTTACATATGTATTGTAACCGTACTCGCGAGCAACGACATAACTTCGTCGCGCGTTCTTCGTACTCCTCGTACGCAAAAGTATCTCCTTTCCCTCGGTAACTGAATTTTGCAACAGCCAGGCGGTTTTTCGGCCAAGATAGTAATTTTTCTTACTAAGTTGGGCGCCAGGCACGAGAGAGCGTGCCACTCTTTCCGAAATCTTCTTACCTTTGCCCGTAACCTATTCGCGACGGCAGGGGATGGGTCGCAAGAGGTGTGGGAAATTTGTCGGAGGGCGAGAGAGATAGGCCACAAGAATAAACTACGCGAGAGCGTCAGAATAAGAACAATTATATTTGAGGAAATATGATAAAATAGAACTAATAACATTGGTGACGTAATTACAAGTACTTTCCGGAGCTTCGCTCCTCCGCTCTACTCGATACTCTCGGTACTCGTACAGAAAGCCGTTAACTTACTTCTAGCGCCGGACGCCGGTCATACGCTACAGCACGAGCCCCGACCTTCCCCACGGTATCTTCCGACGGTGTCAAACGCCCGCCCCTCGACAACCGGCAAGAACTCGTACCCGCTGTACTACCAGCCTTTCGGACGTGTAACGTCGGCCCGCGGCCGACGCCACGGCGATGGTGCGACGCGATTATAGCGAACGCCTCTATGCGACACGACTCTACTCGACAATGTGAATCCCGGAAACGGACTCTAATCGGTAACACCACAACCGGAAGTTATCACAATGCCCGGCGACACAATTATAGCAAGCGTGCCTACGCGACGCGATACTAAACGATAACGCAACTACAATATGCGTCGTTACGCGACACGACGAGACTCGACAACGCGACTACTCTACGCGTTTCTACGCGACTCTACTCGGAAATCGGAAGTGACTCCCCTGTGGCAAGAGGAACGAGCGCGACTCGGC